CTCCCCCCCCCCCTTTAAGGGTGCGATCCCATGATACGCAAATCGACGTGCGGAACAGAGAATGCGTGAATTGAACATTCAATCAGCGCTCTTCCGCATTTTTCTATCCCGCATGTTTTCCTGTGCCCTGTGCACACGGTGCGTGAAAGACATGAAAATGACGTGTTCCGGGAAATAAATACATAATTAAAAAAATAAGTCGTAGTAAGTCAAGGCTCTTATTAAATTATAATAAATTTGGTAAAAGGCTGTTAAGAGCAACTACCAAATTTAACCAAATTTATTATGAAAAAATAAGTATTTCATCGAAACAGTAATTTTGTTAATTTTATTCAAGTATAATATTTAAAATGTTGAAATAAATATTATTGCGACAGTATTAAATAAATTTAATTTAAAATTATATTATTACAAAAATTGTTTTTGAATCTTATGACGCATTTTTGGTAATTTTTCCGTATCATGTGCACAAGGCACACCAAATTATACGTCATTATTATTGATGTGTCTAGAGTTGTGAAGCAAAGCTGGATAACAAATTATTAATGTTGCAAGAAGCTATTAAAACAAAGAAGTTACAAGAAGTTCTAAATTTCCGTATAATGGAACAAAAGCAAAAAAAAATTCAGACAAAACAGGTCTGAACCCGTCAAAGGACTTTTAGTTCTAATTTTGTAGGTTAGCTAGAGTAACGCAACGCATACACGTAAACGCATACGGAAAAGGTACAAAAAATGCGGAAGAGTGCTGATTGGCTGTTTAATTCCCGCATTCTCTGTTCCGCACGTCGATTTCCGTATCATGGAATCGCACCCTTTTTAGAAGGATTTGTAGCGCACAAAAATATTGTTGTATTTCAAAAAATGACGGGACGTTACATGTCAAAAATTATCTCGATAAAAGCCTTACATAAATATAATTATATTTTATACGTGTATGTATAATAAAAGCAAATACAGTAACAAAACAAGGTACAACCTCAATATTATATTAAAATTATACTAAAACCATAATAGTATTAACTACTATATTGCTGACAGTGTAGGAAGAAGGAGCAAAAACATTACAGTGCAGACGATATATTCTCTCTGGAACATTGAGAAGCCTTTTGTGCATGGGGAATATATATATATATATATATATATATATATACATATATTTATGACATTCCCAGCTAACCATTTGCTTAGAAATTGTTAACAATCGGGAAACAAAATACGACCAAATATGGCTGCAAATACAGGGCCTACTGTGTCCTCGAGTGCGCTCCAATTGCAATTAAAAGTTAAAAGTATATCCTAACATCAAGTTGGGTGCAACGCCAGAGCAGATGTCACTAACAGTGCGACGACAGATTGGCAACAGACTGGGAACAGATTTGTCAATCGTAAATTGAGGACAGATTTACGCCAAATGCTCAGCAAATCGAAAAAAACTCCTAGATCTTGTCATGTCCGGACGATGGTTCCTTTCTCTTCCTACGCTTAGGCTTTTTTTTTTTTTTGTGACGCTGGGGAAACCGTCATGGTACCGCGCACCCTCGGGTAGGGGTGCAGGTTATGTGGGACTCCTTGTTCCCCTTGATTGAGCCACGAATGGTTCGACCAGGGGGCTCAAGACCTACCTCACTAAAACCCCAGCGGGTGTTCTTCCCGGGCGTTGGATAGGGGACAGCGAGGATGCTGGATCCCATGCCGTCTCGCCGTCCCCCCGCCAAGCCGTCTCCGGGGAGCTGCCTCGACCTTGCGGCCGAGACCCCTCCCCGACCGCACAGTCAATGACTGTGCGGTTCCCTCGCGGTTGCGGCGCGGGGCGAACACCTGCCCCACGCCGCGCCCTCCCAAAGAGTTTGGGGGGCGGGGCCATGGCTCGAGAGCTCCCGCTCGAGCCATCGCCCCCCGCCCCCCCAGTGGTCGCGACCCCCGGATCCCCTAAAGGGTGATCCGGATCGGCGTTCCACTGGGGGAGCCCTCACCAAGGGGTACCTCTCAGAAGGAGAGGAACCCCCTTCCGTGGACGGTGTTGTCCTCCCCCCTCCTACGCTTAGGCTAGGGAGAAAAGAGGGCGTTCTCTATTTTTTGCGGGGCAACCTGCTTACACCGGCTATACCCCAGGGACGCCGAGAGCTAGGACTGATGTTGGAGATCTGGGGTTGGGAATACACAAGGATGGGGTATTTAAGTCACTAGTAGACGTGGCGAGACCTCGTGTAAGATTCTTGAAGTTTCTAAAATGGAGATTACTTCGTCGGCGGTTGAATCGTCCGTCATAAAATCACAAACGACGCTAAATAATGCTTTGAATAACAATTTTAGCATAAACTCTTCTATAGTTCTATCGACAATTGTGCAGTTCATTTATAAATTAGTAAAAGTCAAAATTGTCCTCGGGATATCTTATAATTTCTACTCTTAATTTCCTCTTAGGAATATAAAGATTTTCTACGAGGACGATGAACAAATCGGTATTTATTAATCCTGTAGCTAAGTCAATTAATAGTCCAATAATAATATCAATATAATAGAATAAAGACCTATTTTCCTGAGGTTTTGTACAGTCTTATCCGAAAATTTAGGTTTTATTTGAATTAACGAATAGTTTTATTTCATTTTATTGAATTTTATTTCATCTTATATGAGTATACAGATGTTACTTAATTTTAATTTTGCAAATAGGCTGTGTATTGGTCTATTTGCGTATGTCTCTCTGATAATTAGTCCTTCAGTCTCGTATTTAAATCGATGGGTGATAGCTCTCCTTGTAAGGTATCTTCTTTAGATTTGGATTTTCGGTTTAATTCGAGGTAAGTTAATAGGTCTGAAGCGGCTGCCGATAAGTCTGGAGTGTGGCCTTCCGTAGGCTCAGTTTTAATTCTGTTAGACGCGGGTGTTAAAGCTGCTTGTGAATTGGTAGAGTTAGGAGAAATGCTAGTCTTCCAGAAGCTGCGCAATATGTATCAAGAGAACGAAACCGTCTGGATTGTTTTAACGCGCGGTTTATTAGCAATCTGTTCACGTGTTAAGGGGATGCCGGAGCGTTGGCCGAACTCCGACGGGTTAGCGCCCTCATCTAAGCGGAACTAAAATTGTCGATAATTACCGACAATTTTAATTTCGCTATTATCGACAGTTTCCATATATTAAAATTTTACATGCATGTCAAAAAAACAATTTTATTGTGTTCAACATATTATATTTTTTTAGACAACATAATATATTTTTACTGTCGAATCATCTCGCACACGCGTTTTTATCTAAGCGTGTCAATGACAGTAAAACATACATACATAATTGTGTCTATCTTTATCACATAGTTTGAACACAATAATATTATTTATATATATATACGAGGTGTGTTCAAAAAGTATCGCGAATTTTGAATTTCCGCGGGTTACGTATATTCGATTTTCGATTTTTTTGTGGCGTTATGTTGGTACTCATGTTTCTCATTTATGCCGACAAGTACAGCTATTTTGAATGTTCAGTTAATTTTTGACAGCTGCTTTGCTTGCACGTGTTTTGGCTCGTCTTCGATTTTTGCCTATTCCAAAAAATGGATCAAAGAATCTGTATCAAATTTTGTGTAAAAAACAAAATTAAGTGCGCGGACGCATTCCGAATGTTGACTGTGGCATATGGTGAAGCTACCGTGGACCGAAGCAACGTTTATCGGTGGTACAAAATGTTTTCCGAGGGCCGAGAAGATGTGAACGACGAAGAGCGTGCCGGACGCCCGAGCACGTCAACAACAGACGAAAACATTGATGAAGTGAAGAAAATAGTATTGGTCAATCGTCGAATCACCGTTAGAGAAGTTGCTGAGAACCTAAACATATCGATTGGCTCGTGCCATTCGATTTTTACCAATGATTTGGGCATGACACGGGTCGCCGCGAAATTCGTACCAAAATTGCTCAATTTCGACCAAAAACAGCATCGCATTAACATTGCTCAGGAGATGTTGGACTCTGTCCGCGACTACCCAAATTTGCTCCAGAGGGTCATAACTGGTGACGAATCATGGGTTTATGGTTATGACGTGGAAACCAAAGCTTAATCATCCCAATGGAAGCTGCCGCACGAGCCAAGACCGAATAAAGCGCGCCAAGTTCGGTCAAATGTGAAGGTTTTGCTTACAGTTTTTTTCGATTGCAGGGGCGTGGTGCATCATGAGTTCTTGCCACAGAGTAGAACGGTCAATAAGGAATATTACCTGCAAGTTATGCACAAATTGCGCGAAGCAATCCGCCAGAAACGCCCGGATTTGTGGAAGAACAAAAATTGGCTTTTGCACTATGATAACGCCCCTGCTCACACATCGTTGCTTGTGCGCGAATTTTTGGCCAAAAACAACACACTAATAATGCCGCAGCCACCGTATTCCCCAGATCTGGCCCCCTGTGACTTTTTCTTGTTCCCGAAACTGAAGAGGTCCATGAAAGGACGACGCTACGCTACGATTGAGGAGATAAAGACGGCATCGAAGGAGGAGCTGAACAAGATCACAAAAAATGATTTTTTGAAGTGCTTCGAGGATTGGAAAAAACGTTGGCACAAGTGTATAATATCTGGTGGGGATTACTTTAAAGGGGACAAAATAGATATTCATGAATAAATAAATAATTTTTGAAAAAACACAAAATTCGCGATACTTTTTGAACACACCTCGTATATATATATATATATATATATATATAAATAATATTATTGTGGTATATATATATATATACTACCATGATCAAAAAATAACCGGAATTTTTAATTTAAACCTCGCGGGCTTATCGGTTTTGAATTCTGTTGTTTGTGTCACGTTGGCAGCACTGTTACGGACACCCTTGCCAAGCTTCTGCTTATCAGCTGTTCATTTACCTTTATGACAGTGATTTGTTTACATCAAGTTTTTACGCTGCGGCGATTTTTACAATGGATTCAAAACTTAAACAACGTACTTGCATTAAATTTTGCTGTAAAAATGAAATTACGTGTTCCGACACATTAAAAATGTTACAAAAGTGTTATGGTGACAATACTCTATCGAAAACACAGGTGTATCAGTGGTATGAACGCTTCAAAAGTGGTCGTGAGGCTGTTGAGGACGATGCTCGTCCTGGGAGGCCATCGACATCGAAAACTGATAAAAACGTCGATGAAATCCGACAATTGTTGATCGAAAATTGCAAATTGACGATAAGGGAGATAGCTGAGACCACCAACATATCATTCGGATCCGTTCAGAGCATTTTGCGTAAGGATTTGGGTCTGAGGCGAGTCACTGCAAGATTGGTGCCAAAAGAACTGAATTTCGTGCAAAAATTGCGTTGATTATTCGTGAGTTTCTTGTCAAAAACAACACAAATACCATTTAACAACCGCCCAATTCACCTGATCTGGCACCATGTGACTTCTTCCTATTCGATCGACTCAAAAAACCACTACGAGGAACTCGTTTTGAGAGTGTGGAGGCAATAAAGCTAAAATCGCTGGAGGCACTAATGGCTATACCAAAAACCGACTTCCAGAAAAGCTTCGAGGGGTGGATCAAACGCTGGCACAAGTGCATCGCAGTCGACGGGGCCTACTTTGAAGGGGACAATTTGAATTTTGAAGAATAAACATGTACTTTTCTTTTTATGAATAAATTCCGGTTATTTTTTGATCATGGTAGTATTTGTTTTTTTGTTTATATATTTACATGCAATTCTTATATATATAATATATATATCATTTACATGTGTATGTATGAATATAATTACTTATCATTTACATGTGTGTGTATGAATATATTTACTGAGCATTCACATGTGTGTGTATAAATATATTTACTGAGTGTTCTAAATAAAACGTTACAATTTTTTATTTCTAAAAGTATAATTTTTAGAAAATAATGCTGCAAATAAAAGTTCCAGTATTTCAACAGAGATATACATACTTTGATGTTACAGAAATGTTTGTAGAAGGCAATTTTCAATATCATTAGTCAACTTGATTATTCGATATTGATTAGTCTAATAATAAGTATTTATGTAAATTGATTCCTTGTAACATATTCTGCATACAGGGTAAAAGTTAATAATTGAACGGTTTACGAGACATTTACATAATTGTGAAATACTATTTTTTTAATTTGTTGTTAAGAAGATAAAATAAGAAAATGTTCAAAAGTGCCAGCACTACTTCCTCTCGTGTCAGATCTTTAAAAGTTAAATTAATAAATCTCTGAAATACAGCCGGAGAATTGCACAAGCCAAACGGAACTTTTAGAAATTCATAGTGTCCGTCAGGAACAATAAATGCTGTATATTTCTGACTCGATTCCTCTACTTCCACGTGAAAAAAACCATTCTTCAGGTCGAGCGTGGTAAACACTCGAGCGCCTTGCAACAAATCCATCTGATCCTCTATTAAAGGTAATGGATACCGATCTTTTAAAATCTTCTTATTTAAATGGCGGTAATCCACACACAGCCTGGCCGCTCCGTCCCTCTTTCGGACCAATACTACAGGACTGGCATACTCTGATGATGATGGCTTGATAATCCCCTCAGCAAGCCATTCGTCGATTTATGCGTTGACCTCGGCTTTTTCTGATGGAGATAGCCGCCTCGCAGACTGGTAAACTGGTTCCTCATCCTTCAATATAAGTTTCATTTTAATGTTAGCCTCGCGCACCTTATTTGGCCTATAATTTTCAATAAATTTGTGCAACGATGCTCTCTTTCAATATCTCCCGCGTCGATCTCGCCCACATGATTTATTTCGAAATCCGCGAATGTCAGATCTGTATTAAATATCTCCGGTATCGCGTCCTCATTCTCGTGTGTCGACTCTTGTGATGGACTAATGGAGATTTTTCCCACTTTAAAATTAACTTCGATTGTGTCCAAAAAGTCAGTGCCTATTAACATTTGATGTCGCATCAACGTATCCGAAATTACTTGAATACACAGTATAGGTATGCTCATCAACACGAATTTCTGCTTCGAATTCTCCTAAGGTCGTGTTATTGTCCGATCCCACTCCACGGAATCGCATTCCGCCCAATCTCAATCGCGGTGAGCCTAATTTTATATATTCGTCGGCACGCATCAGCGTGAGATCGCTTCCGGAGTCTATTAAAGCTTTTATTTGTCGATCTTGGATTGAAACGTCTTTAATATATTTTTTACTCACAGATTGCGTCGTAGTAAGGCAGCTTTTCGATGTTCCTGCTTTTCTCGGACATTTAGACGCAATGTGTCCGCGTTCATTACACGCAAAACATTTCGCGCCTTGATTTTTCGTCGGACAGTTTGCCGCCAGATGATCCCGCATACCGCAATTGTGACAGCGAACAACCGCGTCCGTTGACTTTTTTTCGCGTCACCTCTTTCGGATCTCTCTTCTTTGTTCGCGACACCGTTCCTTTTTTCAAATTTCAAGTTAAACGCACCTCTTTCTCGCAGAGTTACTCTCTCAAACGTGTTCAGAAGTGCCTTCACCGTATCAAACCGCTGTATACGCGCCTGGTTTCGAAGCGCATCATCTGGTATGCCCTCGACAATGTATTCGAGCATCTCATCATTGTCCACAGGAACTCGATTTCCCGCGATAATTTTCTCATGTACGTATTCGTGGAACGTCTCCTCTTTTTCTACATACGGTCCTCAAAATTTTTTTGCAGAGTCACTTTAGATTGACGGTGCTGAAACATGCTCCGCAATTCACCGAGAAGCGCGTTAAACGTCATCGTAACATGCTCTGGTTTCAAATGTAGCCACTCCAACGCCTTGGCCTTCAACCACATTCCGATTATCAGTCTCGCTGACTTGTCTTCTAATTTATATGTTGTCTTCAATAAACGAATCTGATTTTCCCACGTTTCGTAATGCGCTGTTTTTTCCGTCAAAATAGCTAAGCAAATCCGCGATAACCGTTATATTCGTTTTTGATTGAACTCGCACGCTATTATCATCAACGTTCGGATTTTTGTTAATTATCACGCGTTCCGTCCGCTGATTTTGTTGCAGTATTTCTATTTCGCGTTGCGCTAATTCTAACTCGCGTCGCGCTATCTCTCTCTCTCTCTTCTATACAGCTCAATTTTCGACAGCTGCGCGCTCGTACCTTGCTGCGTTCCTGAAACGCTAGCTTGTGAGATATCACCCACATTATCACACCAATCATGAGACAGTTCGTCATCCTTGCGTAGCCACTCGCCATTCGGATCAGCTTCCATCATTTGGCAGATCAATTCGGTTTTCGTTCCTGCAGTAGACAAATTATGCCTCTTTAATATCTCCTTGAGCGCCTCCACCTTGTATTTAGTCGGGTCTTTCATCGTTGGCTGCTGAATACTGTCCATTGCACGCAAATCACCTACGAGTCACTCGGTATATTAGCACTTGTTATTGTATCTTTGTCTCTCGCGAAATTCCTTTACCCGTCGGATCTCACATACACAACACTTTGTTTTCATGTTTGTCCTTTGTCCCGTGTAACGCACATCAACTTGTTTGAAATGTTCAGGAATTTTAACGGTTTTCGTATATAATATATAAATAAATTCGCGTATAATTATAAATTACGGCACTAATCCCGGCTGAGCCCCCAATTTGTGAGATACTATTTTTTAATTTGTTGTTAAGAGGATAAAATAGGAAGATGTTCAAAGTATAAGTATCTCTTGTTATGTGATATTAATAATTTAATCAATGCTTAATTACATGTAAAGCGAACCCTATCGCTTCTGTCATTAATACTCAATAATCACGATAATTGTCTCTTAAAGAATAGAAACTCCGAACGCGTGAATTCTGTCTCTGTCTGTTCTGTCTCTCTAACACACACTCTGTCTCTTTCTGTCTCACACGAACTCTGTCTCTTCACTTTCTTTATAACTCGTATTTATTCTCTCCGACCTGTCTCGTTCTACGACTCACAGCGAACTGCCCTAGCTCTCGTTTCGGAAATCTCGTCAATACGTAAGGTCGCGTCTCTCTTTTTCCATTTTTCTAAAATCCGCGGACACGCCCGCTTCCACACGCAGTCAAAACAAAATTACGAGTCCGATTCGGCTGAAATTTTGACAGTAGCCGTCTACGAGAATGTACTACACGATAGTAAAACTCTCTTGCGATACTGGCACCATCGGGCGATAAGGCTAAGCACTTATCGGACTGCCCTCGTATATACAGGGTGTCCCATAATTCGCGAATCACCTTTCATGGGCAGATAGAGCGTGTTAAACTGAATAGAAAAGTCCTGTATCATTTTGCGATATTCGCAATAATTATTGAGAACTAAAATATCTAAACGAATGAGCGGGTAGAAAGCAGTAGGCCGGACTTGGTGTGCATGTCGAATGACTTATTTGTTATATGCCGCTTAGTATCAAAAGTATCATCTAACTTTTCGGCGCCACTACATTGGTCGCCGCTCGCTGCATGACGCCGCCTCTCGATCAAATAATGCTTTCTACCTGCTTATTTGTTTAGATATTTTAATAAATAACTCAATAATTATTGCGAATATCGCAAAATAATACATGAAGTTTCTATTCAGTTTAACACGCTCTATCTGCTCATGAAAGGTGATTCGCGAATTATGGGACTCCCTGTATATATATTTATTTATGTAAAAAAAATTTTATAAAAATTGAACCCCATAAATGTTGAATAAGAATGAGGAGGGTATCATTAGATTCATTAGAATATCGCAAAAAATTTATAAATGAAGAAAATCTTGAAAATTTCAAAATCATGTTTATTTTTAGAATGATCTCAAGAATACAAATATAAGTTTCACTGTGGACATCAGTTGCAGGACACCCTATACATACATACATTTATATATACATATATACAATATATATATATATATATATATATATACATGTATTATGTATGTATGTATATACAAGGTGTCCTGCAATTGATGTCCACAAAAAAACTTTGTATTCTTGAGTTCATTCTAAAAATAAAGATGATTTTAAAATTTTCAATATTTTCTCCATCTATAAATTTTTTGCGATATTCTAATATAAATATATACAGGGTGCCCCAAAAGATCGGAACACTGAACAATCTCGAAAAGTATACGTTTTACAGAAAAAAGTTTCAGACAAAAATTGTAGAGAAAAAAATCTATTTACTAATCTTATCAATTTGACCTTGGACGGCGTTACCAAGGTCAGAATAATGTCCTCGAATTTCTTAGAGGGAATCCTATATTTTTTATTACATATTCTTGTAGCTTATCTCGAGAGCTTTCCAAAACACTATAATAAAATTATTTTTCATTGAGTGCTCTTTGAGTTATAAAGATTAGAAGCTAACAATTTTTTG